AAAAAGATTTCTAGTTCACAGTCTGATTTGGCACCATCTATAAAGGAAGGTGTAGGATTTTCCCCCTAAAACCATCTTGCCTGCCATTACATTGAGTTTTGATGCTCTTTAATCATTCTACCCAAAATTTTAATTTTGGATCAGTTCACTGAGTTGAACTTTTACAAAATTTCTGCTGAATAATAGATGTTTCTGAAATGAGATTAGAGAAAACTCACACGGGTTCATCACAGTCCTCTCTTTCTTTCACAACACTTCCCTGTGACATGCTGGTGCCTGTATGCTTTGAAATCTGGCACTGGACTACTACATTTACTGGGAGATGAAAGTGATGGTGAGCGAGAGGGTCCATGCATGAGCCTACTCTCACCCTGCAACATCTGGGGTGATGTTGCTTACACTTGACTCCCTGCAAAGCTCTGCTCACACATATTCAATCAGAAACTTGATAAAGTTTGGTAGCTAAATTCTCTGAAGATTTCTAACACACTTGGCATCTTTCAAGTCTGAAGGAGGCAAGCAGAACTTTCTCAGAAACTGTAAAAAAATTTGGTTTGGATGATACAGATTACGTGCTTCTGATGAAAGAACAAGAATTCCTGCAATGAATGAGCAGCTCAAGGAGAAACTGAACCAAAGCAGAACTTCCTTTTAATGTCCAAAATCTATCAGTGCACCAAGCATGCACTGTCTGTCTCTTCCTTCCAAAATTGTCATGTACTATACTTAATTCATAAGAAATACATTCTATTATTTGGTTTCATCTTACTATGAGATGCATACGTGAGTACCTGAAGCCATCCTGATGAGTTACACCAAACAGCATTTATTACGGCATCTTTTTTTCCTCACAGAAATTGAGCTTTTGAAAGAAAACCATCTGTCCTGCTCTCACTATTTTACCCTGCTAACTGTGTGAAGAACGCTGGTTTTACCTGGAGCAGACACAGACAGGCAATTGCCTCTGCAGCCAACAGCAAACATGACTGGTATCTTCATCAGCCTGTGAAAGAGCTGGTCCCTTTTTTAACAGCATCTATGTGTAGTAGTTTGCATGTCCAACTTTCAGGTGGGTTTTGAAGCAGACCATCCCATGCTAGGACTGATTTTGTTTCTGTTGAGTCAAGGACAAAGCTCTACTCTACTTTGACAGAGGCAGAACCACCCTGTGAATCTCTAATTATCCATGGCTTTTTCTAAGTCACTTATGGAACTATTAATTTTGCAGTTGTTTCCCACAAAGCAGGGATAATTCCATGTCTTTTTAGTTTACAAGGCACACTGGAAGATGCCGCAGAATGTTTAGTAGGCAATTTGTGCTGTCATAACAGATCTTTGGCTTGGTTTTTGAATCAGAAAAGTCTGCATTGGTATGGAATAGTATGCAAAAAGAAACTGTCTTGAATCTATTCAAATACATAGAGAGTTTTTTAAAAACTCCATAATTCTGAAGTAAGGGATGCAATTTTGTTGTGATCTGCACAATGCAAAACCAGGAAATATAATATGGGACAGAGCTACATGCTCTTTTTTTTTTTTTTTTTAATAGCAGGAAATTGGACTGTATTTTAATATTTACCCACAGTTTAGAGAAGAAGATTGCAGATTATTCTGGTTTTTTAAAATACGACAATACAATTTAGCTTCATCAGGACTACCAACAGTTCTAGAAAGAAATATCACATCATTGGATTCTATATTTAATCATTTATTTTGATTCACAAAAAGAACTTCTCTCAGGATGCTCTTGATAATTAGAAAAATTACAGCAATTACAGCTCAATAAATACTTCAGCTTCATCTTCTTTAGTCAACACATTACTGATAAAAGGAAAAAATAAACAGGGAAGTGTTCCTTCAGTCTTTCTACATTTGGAATTAGGACTGTAGCAAACAACATGGCCACTCTGGCAGATTCACAGGGTCAAAAGCTCAGAAGGATGGATGAATAACTAGAGAACTTTGCATCCATTCTTTACCACAAATTTCTCACATATCCTTGGGAAAAGGCTGAGATGCTACCTCACACAGTCCTAGCCATGTAAATAAAGATTTAGTATATTGTCTGAGTCACTCTGCCTGCCTTTATGCTGCCCCAATGGCAGAGGAGATGCTGCTTCCCCAGATCCAAAGGCACTATGGAGATCCAATGGCACAGAGACACTCTAGTATCTTTGTAGCTTTCACACCAGCTTCAGCACAACTGACACTGAGCCAGGGTGCTAAAGCTGAGTTGGATACAGTATCCTTTATGGGCTACTAAATCACATATACCACAGCACATCCTTCTATTGACATCTGAAAGGAAGTAGGGATTAATTTCCTCCACTTGCCCAAAAAGGAGTGGAATAAATCCCTCTTCGGAGGTGCCGCTTTCTTTGGTGCAAGCTAAGAAGTTTTCCCAGGCTGTCAAGCACTGGGAACAGCAGCATGGACGCCACAGTGCCCTGCATAGAAGCAGAGCTGCCTGGAAGCAGAGGCAGGCAGCTGCAAGTAACAAGCTAAGGAGTTATATTCATGAATGTTAGATAAAACTGTATCTGGAGTCAAGCTGTGGCACAGATATTTTGTGTACTGATGATTGAGAGGTCATTATATGGAAGTAATACGTCTAATATCATGTTATGTCTTAATGAGTTCAGATGGTGAGTCCTTTTGTGCCCATACACAAGGGATATGACATTCAACTGCATCTGCTGCCTCTCCACATTCCCTGATAGTGCAGAGACCTTCAAGGACTTTGGGATATAAAAACTGTTAATAGGCAAAGACTGACAACTTAGGCTGTTATCAGCAGCTTGATAAGCTTACAGTTCTATCTTCTGCTCCATGGGGAATTTACTGGCAAATTCCTCACTTCTCCAGCAGTATCTAGGGAAGGTGCAAAGAGGAAGCTCAAGAGCTGCAGCTGAAGCATCCTGGAGGTGCACAGATGCTGAAGGAATTCTCCTCTTCTCCTGGACAGGAACCAGCTGCCCCAGAGGATGGGTGTGGTGGATAGACCTTGGCTGGATGTCAGGTGGCCACTAAGCTGCTCTATCATTCCCCTTCCCAGCCAGACAGGGGAGAGAGAATAAGATGGAAAATGACTTGTAGTTTAAGATAAGGCAATTCACCAAAGCAAAAGCGAAAGTTTGTGCATGCACAAGCAATGAGGAAAAAAAAGCTTTACTGTCTACTTCCCATCAGCAAGGGGTCTTCAGCCACTTCCCTGGAAGCAGGGCTTCAGCATACATAGCAGTTGCTCTGGAAGGCAAACACTGAAAATAACAAATGCCTCCCCCTTCGTCCTCCTTTCCTTAGCTTTTATATCTGAGCTGATGTCATATGGTGTGAAATATGGGTCAGCTGGCACAGCTGTGTCCCCTCCCAGGATCTTGCCCACCCCCAGCCTACTGATGGGTGGAATGTTGGAGAGACAGTGCTGGTGCTGTGCCAGCACTGCTCAGCAGTAGCCAAAACACTGATATGTTATCACCACGTTTCTAGCTACCAGTGCAAAGCACAGCACTGTGGGGGAAATGAACTCCATCTCAGCCAGACCCAATAAAAAATGGCTTTTGGTCTCTCTGGACAGAAAGAAAAGGTGTAGAAACTATTAAAGGTCACAGATCTGGCTGAGTTGATATTTGAGCCTCAAAGTGAGCGCCCAGCAGAGGGCTTAAGCAGGCCACTTAAAGGAAAGGACTCTTAAAAACTACACAGGGTGGATGTAGCAAGGAGAAAGCTCTCAACGTGCACCATGAGTATGGTGGTCAATATACAATAAAATAGTTAAATAAATTCTGTAAATGAATGCACTCTGAGATGACTCAGTGGAATTGCATCATTGCAAATAAAACTGATAAAGCAAATCAGTTTTTTAACCTTAATCTTTTTAAACTGTGAATATATTGAAGGACACAGGGTAGACAAGATGCATTAAGTCCAGAAACTCTTCCTAAAGGAAATATCTATAGAAAATACAGTTTGAAAATATAGCAAGACCAATAAATTTGAAGATCAGGCCTCCTCTGCCAGGGCCCAACTGCTCACTTCGAGAGCATCACAGGCATGAAGAAGACTGGAAATTGACAGTGATAGAAAGTGAAACGACAACAATTTTGGTTTACTTCAGTAAGTTAGTGTTACTAGGAACTTTAGTTTTCCATCACTGAAGTGCTTAAAAGAATAAATAAACATCAAGAAATTGTAGTCAGCAAAATAGTCCGTACTTTGCTCTTTCCTCTCTTCCTCTCACTTAATGACTTGGGCTTTTGACGAGGCAATACATTTTTATGACATTTCCTAGTATCCAGGGAAAGCTTAACACTACCTGGGCCTATAGAAACATTTCCTTTCTGTTTTGAAGCACCAGCGATTTGACTGGATGGAAGGAGCTTAACACGCACCCGTGATGAGGCAGGAATTTTGCCACTGCGGCCACTGCCTGACTCTGCTTTTTCCAAAATATCTACGACTGTTGATTTTCATGAAGACTTTTTTCACGTGGGCGAGCTGGATGTGATGTTAAGCTGCTGAAAAAACCTTATGGAGAGCTGGGGAGTTGGAGCTTGGGCTCTAAGAGGGAGGTAAGAGAAAGCAGGAGCTTGGTAGTGACCACACGGTGGCACAGAGTTCCGAGCAGGCCCACAGAGGCAGGAAGGTTTCTGTGTCTTCTCTCGTCTCTCACCTACGCTTGGAAATGCAGATAAAACAAATTTAAGCATATGAAGCTTGTGCTCAGTGGACTAACTCACTTGTGCCCCGTTCTATCCTGGTATAAAGGGCATAGTTTGTTCATATGGTGGTGAAGACAGTACTATTTGAAACTGCATTTCTCGGTAATGTTTCAAACATTATCTGCAAAACGCAGGCTCTGAGCGTATCGGCAGCATTTTCCGACAGCGCTGTGCTTAGCCGGGCGCTCACAGAGGCGGCCCGGCGCCGCCCGGCCCCTCGCCCCGCCCCGGCGCGGCTGCTCCGGGGCCCGGCCGGGCCGCGCTTTCGCTGCCATCGCCATGGCCGCGCCGGGCGCCGCGCGGCGCCTCTACCGCCGCATCCTGCAGCTGCACCGGGCGCTGCCGCCCGCCCTGCGGGACCTGGGCGACCGCTACGTCAAGGAGGAGTTCCGGAGGCACAGGGCGGCCGGGCCCGCCGAGGCCCAGCGCTTCCTGCGGGAATGGGAGGCAAGTGCCCGCCGCCCCGCGGGGGAAGGACGGGGCACTCCCGGGCAGGGAGCGGCGGGGCCCGGCGGGGCGCAGAGAAGGCCCCACAAGGTCAGAGGCACCGGGCTGTTCAGGGGTTGGACTCGATGATCGCACAGGTCTTTTCCAACCTGATTGATTCTGTCTCCTCGGGCACGCTCCCCTGAAGGGCAAACTCCTTACAGAGCTACAGAATTCCTTGAATTCCACGTTTCTGGGCAGGTTATCTTTTACAGTTTGTATTTCCTTGCCTCAAATGTGTGTGATGATAGCTATGCACACACAGGTATCTGTAACAGAATGACAACAATTATATAATGAACTGTATATACAAATATATACACAGAATTACCTTTATTATTTATAACAATATATTATATAGACTACATACATAGCTAATTGTATAGTTATAATTAGCTAAATACACAGGTGTAAATAGCTTCCCCATGATCTTGTATTTTATTTCCGAGTGACATTTTTTCAGTGTTTCCTAACAAAACAAGTTTTATGTGAACATTGCTTCTCTGCTGAACGCCCCTTCCCCAAACTTAGTGCCTGGTTTCACCAAGGATGGAAAAGCAGATCACTCTGAAGTGATGAGGTTGTAACAAGTTTCACAAGCAGCAGAGGAGGGAGACCCATAAGGTGCTTTCCCCACATGCCTGAACTCCAGCAGATGCTAGAGTATTAATAGACACCTAAAAACCCACACGGCAGAAAAATGTGTAGACACTTCACAGAGGAGAAACTTCGATTAAAACAAGAACTCAACTGCAAGAGGTGGATCTGTAGACAAGCTTCCCATTAATTTTCATGCTCATTGAACTACTGGTTTGGGAGTATTTTTGAATCTCAAAACTGTTTTCCTTTCGGTGAAAAAAAATTATATTCTGCTTTGCCATAGAAACTGGTTAGCATAGGTAGCATCCATTGCCTCCCAGTTTACCAACTGAAGGGTAGTGAGGGGAGAACTGGCCCATCCCTTCTGTGTGCTGTAGCTGAAATCTTGTGGAGTAAAGGAACTTGGGCCAGGGCATCAGGAACCAGCAGGGAGAATGCTGCCTGGTATTCTTTTCACAGGAGAGGAATAAGTGTATTTTAATTGCCTCTTGCCAACTGATAGATCCTCAAATCAGGGAAATTTGTATCTACCTCTCAAATGCGTGATGCTATTGTAGTTCTCAATTGCCGTTTACTTGATATTGCTGAAATGTTTCCGCATCGTTGCTTCCAGTTTTAACATGAGCTAAGAAGACAAGTTACAGGTTACTATTTTCAGTGCTAAAATCTTCCTTAAAATAGTTTTAGAAAAGGAAGTAAGTGTTTACATTGAAATACCTTTAACCGTTTCTGTGAAGTAAACAGTGAAAATATTTCTCAGTTTTAAAATGTTTCAAAAGTAGATTATAGGGAAAATTGTGACAAAAATTAGACTACGAGGAACAGAAGTTGAATTTTGAAACCTGACATTTAGTGCTATTAGGTATGATATGTTCAAGGAAAGGAAACTAATTTAATAACTGTTTTGAGTGTGTGAGTATAAAGAACTTTGCAAATATGTCTGTCTTCTAACAAGATGCTGGGAGATATTAGCACGTAGTTAGCATGTCTCTTCTCATCTTTAATTTTTGTTTTGTTCTGCGATTTTTTTCTCCCCCAAATGATAATCTGTTTCAAGGGTGGAATTGACATCAGACTTTGATATTTTTGGTCTGTGAGGCTTTCTTTGCATGTTATGCTATGCTGTGGTTCCTAGCCCCTTGAAGACTTGAACTAGATAATTGAGGAAGGTGGACTGTAGACAACTTGGATTAGGTAACTGTAGACTCTGATTAGGCTCTAATTCATATTGAAGTCCTCTGTCCTGGTTTTGGCTGGGATAGAGTTAATCTTCTCAATAGGTTGTATATGCTGTGTTTTGGATTTAATATGAGAATAATGTTGATAACGCACTGTTTTAGTTGTTCCTCAGTAGTGCTTGCTCTAAATCAAGGACTTTTCAGATTCCTGTGCTCTGCCAGTGAGGAGGTCCACAGGAAGCTGGGAGGGAGAATAGGCAGGACAGCTGACCTGAACTGTCCAGAGGAATATTCCATACCATAGAACATCAGGTTCAATATATAAACTGGGGGGAGTTGGCCGGGTGGGGCCATTTGCTGCTTGGGGATGGTTTGGGCATCAGTCAGCGGGTGGTGAACAGTTGTATTGTGCATCACTTGCTTCTGTTGGGTTTTATTCTTTGCCCCCTTCCTGGGCATCAGGACACACTTTTGACCAGAAATAGGCTAGAAGCTCTAAGACAGTTCTTGCAGAGCCAGGGTACCTGCAAAGCATCCAGTTCTTGGAGGGTGTAAGAGTTGCAGTTAGTGGTGAATGAATCAGTGATATGCTAGTTCTTCACATATATGAACCATAACTGTACTCCTTGCCTCCTTATCTATGTTTATTAAACAAAACAAAAACCAAACCAAACAAATCCACCTAAACAAATCACTACAATATTAATACAAAATGATTTTTTGAATTTCCTGTTAAGTTTATTTAAGAAAAAAATGAAGCAAAGTTACAGCTCTGTTAACAGTATTTTTACATGTCGCATGTCAAGCGCTTTTCTTCCCAATTTGCTTGTTCATTAGGCTGAGTATATACCTTGCTGTATGTACTTTAGTGTTATCAGTATTCAACTTGCATCTGGAAATGTTCTTTCCTCATGTCTTCTATTGCGTGCAGGGCATCTGGTACAGAGTAGCTTGATGTCTCATGTTACAGAAAATTAGTACTCATAATTTTATATTAAAATAGTATATCTTAATGTATATTCATCAGAGGATAAGGATTATGGATATGATGATTGCATCGATGTTTGTTGACTTTGAATGAGGACTTCAATATGAAATGTAATCTTAATAAGCCATTCCAAATGCTTTTTGAATGACAATTTTCAAGGATGGCTTATTTTAACATGAAACTACTTGACTATTGTTAAAACCTTTCAGGATTTTTTTGGGTAGTCAGACCTTCTGGGTGTGCTTGAATATGCTAGTTCATAGCCTGTGGTGTGCTTTCTTGTCCTCCAATTTGATTCATATTTGTTAGTTGTTTAGAAAGCAGGCCTGGTATTCTAATCACATTATAGTAGCCTCAAATGATTTTTTTGCTCCCTTGGTATTTAAATCATGCTGATTCAAGAGAACTGAGCATGTTGATTTGAGGTTGTAGCAAGGCGGGGGTTGGTGTCTTCCCCCGGGCAACTAGTGACAGGACGAGAGAATGTAGCCTTAAGCTGTCCTAGGGCATGTTCAGATTGGACATCAGGAAGAATTTTGTCACAGAAAGGATTGTTAAATATTAGAACAGACTTCCCATGAAGGTGGTGGATTCACTGTCCCTAGAAGTGTCCAAGAAGTTACTGGGCCTAGCACTTATCTAGTTGATAAGGTGTTGTTTGGTAAAAGGTTGGATTTGATGATTTTGGAGGTCTTTTCCAATTCAAATGATTCTGAGATTGTTTCTCATAAGCTGAGCAAGTTTCCTTTATTTCCTGTGAAACATGGTGAAGAATCTGGAGGGAGATTTCTAGATTAGCTTTAAAAAGAAAGGGGGAAAAAAAAAGGTAAAAAGCTCCCAAATTATACTGCCTTAGTATGTGAATGATTCATGTAATTTTCCTGTAAAGGAGATGAGAAGGGATTCGCTTGTTTAGAATACACAGGAATTGAGGGCTTTAGTGTTAGAACCCAACCACACAGACGGTTAATGTAGTTTTACAGGAAACCCAAACTGACCTGTTTGCATTTACAGAATAGGGAAACTATCACTTGAATATTCTTGGAAGAGTTCTTAAGTGAATATGACTAATAATGGTCTGCAAGCCCATATACACTTATATAAAAGTAGAACAATATAAATAGGGCTTCTTTCATTGGTATTAGATTGATGTCTTGAAACCTGATGGAAAATATTAAAGTGGGATACAAAGAAAGTAAGCTTTGTTGTTCAGGAATTATGCTTGTTCAGGTAGAATAAAATTAAGTATATAAATTATTAATATATGTTCCTATCTATTTTCTAAATATTTAATATTTTAATTAAAATAATTGGTACTCATTTACAGGAGACTGCTGATATAATTAGATTGATAGTGATTATTACTTTGGAATGCTATTGAATTAATGTTGCCAGGTATGATAAGTCAATTAGTCCAACAGTCTTCTAAATCATGTGGTAGCTGATGAGAATGCTTACTTAAGATAGGTAATATTAAGATAGTATTGATCACTTCATTCCAGGTTACAATAAGTAGAACATTCAGCTAAGTAATTTCAGTAACCATTTGTTTCACATTTAAGCTAATTCCTCTTTTAATTTTGAAAATGACCATTTCATACTTGGCTTTTTTATAAAGCCTGACCTGTAGATGAGAAGGCCTGGACTATTTGAAGATGAAGAGAATCATTCTTCAGAGTTACGTGGCATCTTCTCACATCTAACAGATTGAATAAATTGCCTTTGAAATGCTTCGGCCACTCTTGACTCTGAAAGCCTTTTTATAAGCTTCCAAATGAACTGAGACCGATTTGGGAGCTGGCATCTGCTGTTGTATACTCCGAAGAAAGATGACATTTCGTTCCTCATAACAAATCTAGGCATTATATTGGTAAAATTAAGATAGAACAGTATCTCTCTGTCTGGGGAACCTGGTCACGTAGCCTCTCAAGAGTGACTAATTTTTTGGAATCAGTATAATATTTGATGCGATACAAATAATAGTCTTTCATCGAATTTATTTTCAGTTAGCCAGGTCCCTTGCAGTACTTAGTTTGCTGGGATGATTGTGGGGTGCTGCCGTGATATTTCTCAGGACATAGTGTTCTGATGTATCTTTTTCTGCTTGTGAGTGGATACGCTTACAGAACTTTTTGCCTCTCAATTCTTTGGGCTAGTATGATCTTCCCTCCACTTTATTTTTAAGCTTCTGACAC